GGTTTTTTGACCACAAGCACTAACAGAAGTGGTTGAGCAAGACTGACCGATTAATCTTTGGTAGAAGAGCCACATAATATATCATTTGCATTTAGCTGATTCATCAAGTCAGTTTCTATCAACATTGTCTAATTAGTCCTTGTTCTCTTCTACTCTCAACGAAGAACCATTTAGTTGACTGTAGAATAATGCTATATAAAAAAATTGTCTAGTACTTGTTTAAAGTTTAAGACTCAAAACAATAGTTGTTACATTGAAAAATAGACAAAAGTTTTAAAACAAAAATATTTTTGTTTACTAAAATAAGTAAACGTCACAACAAAGCTGTATGGATATACTGAAAGATTTTTTGATAGATATTTCAAGCACAGTAACGTCGATGAATCAAGTTTAGGCTAATTTTAACATAAATTCTTTTTCTTTTTTATCGTTATTTGAGATGATTGGAGTTATTTTGCTGTAATAACTAGTAAAAAAAATGTTTGTTAAAAATCTACATAATTTGTTGCTCTGGTGTCTCATGACGATTATGAAAGATATTGTTCTGATGACGTAACAACAAAATTCATTGATGATACCTTTTTTTAAAAATTGTAGAAGCGGTTTTCAATAAACTGAAAACTGTTTATAAACTGTAATTTGAGCTACGTAAAAACTGTGTTGATAATGCTACAGTTGACCTCATAAATATTATACAACAGCTAATCTATCTAATGCTGCAACAAACTTCAACGTTCAACTTTTATAGTTTATTTTTAAGTGTACATCAATCAGCGTTACTGGGTCATTTTGATACAGTTTGATTCAGTATCAGTGCTGTTGTTCCATATATCTAAACTGTTGATCGGCTTAACACTCTTGTTTAATGTTATCAGTTTTTATCTTTGTCTCGTCAAAACACTTAGTATTAATTATAATTGTATAGTCTCTTTAAAATTCTCCTTATAATGAACTAACTATTTTTTGTTTAATTTTTTTGTATTGATCAGAAATCTACAACTGTAAAATTATGAGTGGCTACGCCAGTCAATGCATTAAACACGTAAATTCTTAACTGCAAAAGCTTCTTTAATTAGTTTAAATGATAACATAAATTTTACAAGTTTTCTATTTAGTTATTATTGTTATAAACGTATAATATAAGAAGAATCTGTAAATAGTATCTTCAATTATACCGTTCAAAAATAATGTTTTCTTTTTGCTTTGCATACGTGAGTTGCTGTGAAAATGGCTAACTGATTGCTTAATTATATATCTGAGTAAGCTGAACTTTAGGCACCAAATTGCAGAGGAGCACACGATAATTACAGTCAATTTCAATCAAAATTTTGAGCTAAAAACTTTTTTAAACAACTTTTTTAAATTCACTTTATGTACCTTAGCTTTGGAAATGTTTAATCTTTCAAAAACAGATTATCATAAGTTGTACCTACTGTTTTCGTACTCACTATCATGGTTAACTTATGGGCTATGGTTGTATTATGGTCAAATTTATCTTTTTTTGGCATTTATTTCACTCAGTTATTAAGTTTTACAATTAATTTCTATGTAAGTCTTAAATTTATTTGTCTAAAATTTACAGTAACAATTGCAAGGTGCAGATAGAGAAGCAATACAGAACAATAGCAGACTATAATGTTGTTTTTAAACAGTGGAAAAAAAAGGATTGAAGAAGATTATCAATTTTTATTAACTTATTATCAATAATCAACTGTAATTTTCAAAAAAGGAGTAAAACTACAAAAAAAAATAATAATAATTTAACAAATAAAAGTATTAGAAAAAAATTAAATGTGAAAAAAATCATATATAGATGGAAAATATAATCTTCAAAAATATAGTTTATTCAATCAATTTGGAGTAAAAGCAGCAGTATTTGATATGCTCGATATCAGACAATTCGCAAAACCAATAAGCATGCATTTTTTTTTTTTGTTGAACCATTTTCCGTGTTTTTATTGAGTTTAAAATTGTTGAATTTTTTTTACTACAGACACTTCTGAAGTTTAAATGTTTTTTTCTGCAGTTCAGAATGAAAATATTTACAGTTTTTTTTCATTTATTAATCTTCTGTATTCGAAAATTTCTTTTGCAACCTATTTTCTAAGCAAATATTTATTGCAGCTTTTAAAATTTACTCTTAACAGATGTTTATGCTTTAAAGCAGATCAACTGCTTCTAATCTTAAACATTTTTTTATCATTAAAATTTAAAATTGGTAATCCTTTTTTTTT